GTGATAGCTGGTTTCAGCCTGCAGAGGTACAGGGAGAAAAGCATCTCAAAACCCTGGGAGACACCAGGTGAGAGGTTCTGTGAGATCCGGCATTTGTGGATGAGCAGACAGGCAGAGGCAGAGGGGAAGGAGCTGAATGGGATGGGCCCTGTCTCCTCACTGTCTGACTGCCTGGCGTAGCAGTGAGGAGTCTGGCACTTGAATTTCAGGATGTGAAAATCATCATCCGAGCAGGCCAGGCAAAGGAGGGCAGTGCCAGCCCTGGGGGGAGAGCCTTGCTGGAGCGCCAGAGAGGAGCAGCCATGTGGGATCTCAGTACGGGTGATGCTCAGGGAGCTGTGGGGTGTGCCCAGCATGGCCTCAGCCTCGTGCTGTGGAGGTTGAGCTTTACATTGACGTTTCAGAGGTGGCTGCTCCTCTTGGGAAGGAGAGGTGGTAGAGAGAGGGATGGCTTTCCTGGTGACAAGCCACCTCATGAGGTGACCATGGAGCATAGGGCTGGTGAGAGCACGGGGACCCGGCCAGGGGTGGCTAGCAGTTGGGGCGTGAAGCTGAGGAGGGCACAAACCTTGTTGAATGTACTACCATGGGGTTGCATCTGTTGTCAGGATGCCAGTCACCATGTGCGTGTATGGGAGGGTCTCACCCAGTGCTGTGGTTTCTAGTTCTTTGGGGTTTTTTTTCCCAGTTCTGTTGATTTTCTTACATTTATCCTGTATCCCCTCACTGCTGTGTTAAACCATTGACCTTTGCACTCCTGGATGGGAGTACTCGAAAGAAATAGCCCATTTTGGAGGACAATGGGACAGCCTGATGCCAGGCCTCTAAGGACAGCCCTTGATGGAGCAGTTTTACCCCACCAGTCACACAGGCTGTGGACAATGACCACCTTTCCCCCTGGACCAGCCACTGAGCTCTGGATGCTGTAACGCCAGGAGCTGCATGTCAGGCCAGGGCTCAAGACCTAGTGCTCCCAATCCAGCAGTGTCTCCCTTCTCTGCCCCACCTCCATGCTTTCCCAGAAAGTTAGTCCAGTCCTAGGGCAGTTTCCTGTTGGATGATCTTCCTGCTGGCTGGAGGCAGTCAGGATGGGGAGAAGGAGCCTCTGCATCTTCCTGCTGCCCCCAAGGTCTGCTTTGCCCCAGGGCAGGCATGAGTGCCCCAGCTCCTGTCTGGGGCAGCAAGGGTTATTGTTCATGCTGGTGGGTTTGCTCTGAAAGTCTCATACTGGTAGCTGGGCTTGAAATGCCACACTCACACACAACAATTTCAGTTGCTACTTGTCTTGGGTCCGGTTTAGAGCTGTCAGATGTGAATGTTTTCCGTTCATCTCTGGCACTTCCTTTAAAGCTCTCTCTGCTGCTTCTGTGTCAGTGGATCTCTTCTTAATTTTTTTCGACTTTTTTTTTTTCTATGTTGTTTAAATGAGCTTCAAAGCACTGTTTTCTGTAGGGATTCTTCACTTTCAGACTAGATCCTGGCTCTGCTTTGCATTTTGAGCTGCAACTTTTATGTGCAGAATGGCAGAAGGAAAGAATTGTGATCATTTCATGTTTTCATTATTTACATATTTTTTACATAGTTATTGTAAAAATCTGTGTGAGACTGGTAGAGCAAACAGAGTTGGTGTATACCTCCCCTTAAAAGTAAGCAGGCCTCCTTTGGAGTGAGAGAGAAAACAGTTGGTAACTGCAGCCAGTTCTTTCACACTCCTGTATGGATGTGGAGTCAGATGCATTTTCAGTATTTCGTTAGGATTTCTCTTTAGGCAGAAGCAAGCAGAAGGGGCAACACCTGGGAATCCCTGGCACCTTTTTTGGCATTCCTATTGCTTCTCTGATCCTCTTGCAGATCGTGTCTCTGAATTACTGTACAGCCTCAGAGATGCCATTTTGCGTGTGGGTGTTAGCTGGTACCAGGAAAGCCTCTTCTGAGACCTGGCATGTGCCTAAGGAAAGCTGTGGGTGCATTTCTGCATGCCTTTTCTTTATGTCTTTATGTGAACCTGCTGTTATCCTCTGATCTATGGTAGAAACACCCCTTCTCACAATTACACACGTAGATGTGTTTGTGCCTCTTGTTTTTGAAACTGTTAAACAGTACTAAAGGCCTTGTAAATACTCTACTTGAACCTGTGCCCATTTCTGTGTTTGTGTTTTTTTTTTTTAAGGGGGAAGATTCTTCAATGATTTGGCATTTTTAAGGATTTTGGTTTTTTTTTTTTCTCAAAGGGAAATAACTCTTTTATTTATTTTTTTTTATATCCACATTCCCTCTCTAATTTTTCCTTCTCATTTGAAAATTTGTGTGCAAGGATTTTTCTTCTACAGGCATAAACATCTGGTTTTGTCAAGTAACAAACAAAATGTTTTTGCCAATTCTTCTGAACATTGGGATCGCTTTTTATCCAAAATACAAAACAACGGCCAAGTTTTGATGTTTCTGTGGCTTACAACGCATTGAAATAGTAGAATCAGTCCTTGCTTTTATGTTTTTCAAAAGACTGGAGGATGATAAATACCCTTTAATCTCTTTATACATTCAATTTGAATTGCTTTTATATCATAGGGTACCTGGGAAAACTGAGCCGGTTGGTGAGCGTGGGGGTGGTGGGAATGTGGTAGACAACATAAGGCCTGTGGTGGTTCCTAGTTTTCATCTGCAAGGCGCTGGCAGAAATGCTGTGAAGTGGAGCAGGAGAGTGGAGGACATTCATCTCGCCCATCTCTCAGACTCTGTTTTGCCAAAGGATGCAGAAGGCAAATGCCTACGAGCCAAAGTAAACACGCAGGGTGAACTCCAGCAATTCATATATGGACTTCTGCTTTACTGGGTGTTTGCAATAAGAAGAGCTGGCCACTGTGAGCAAAATGTCCTTGGGGGGCTGGGGGCAAGAGATAGGGAAGAGGAGACAAGGTACATTATTCAAATAACATTTCTTGAGGTAGATATTACAATAAATGCAAGTTTGAGTTTAAGCAGCATTTGAAATGCGATGAGAGACTGTTTTTGTTTTCAGATGAGCTTATTTTCCGTATGCAAGGCCATATTATTATTTTAAACTGTGGGAAGGCACAAAGAGGAGGAAATAAGCACGTGGTCATCTTTGTGTGCACTTAAATAGGGAGCAACCTTTGCAGGGAGGTCCAATTAACTATTTATGTTTTGTTTTGAAAGGAGAAGCTGGCTTTGCCTTTCCATGTATGTTAAGGATTTCAGTAACTTCTAGGAAAGAAAGTATAAGAAGAGGGATACATATCCCAGGTGCTGCTAGGCCTGTGGGAGGGAGAGGTAAAAGGGGATGCTGGGGCTAAAATATTCCTGTGACTCTTCTTCCCCAGCATCCCCAGAATGTAGCCTTGAGGCCAAGTGGAGAGGGAGGAGGCATGGGGCAGAGCTCATGGTCAAGATAGCGAGGAGCTGCGCTGTAATGCTTAAGAGCTGAAGTTGCTCATTCCTCCTCCTGTTCTAATACAGTATGGAGAAGGCTGAAAACAAATTTCTTGTGTTAAATTTTTGCTGTTTTGGTCATGACCCCAGACCTCATTATTCCCAAGCTGTCTAAGCGTGAAACGAAATCAAGTTAATGAATTTTGAATACTGCATCAAATGAACTGGAGGCAGTCTAGTGTTAATAAGTCGTCGAAATGCTTCTCATCCATGCTGCAGTACAAAGGAGAGAGTTTTCTTCTCGGTTGTAGGAACAAGATTTGTGGTACTGAGCCTCATCTGGTGACCCCCTCCCTGCGGTAATGCCCAGCATTAGGTACTTTATTAAATGGGGAAGAGCTCATGACTTCGTGGGCAAGAGAATAGATTTGTCATAGTAGTTTGCATCTAGATCAAGCTGCCTTAAGTCAAAAACATGAATGTTTATGTCCTTTCCATAAAACTTGACAATCTGGGACTTGTCCCTCACCTTCTCAATCTTCCTCATCACTTGGTGCCAGCAATTTCCTTTGATGACAGAGTCTGTGCTCCGATTACCTGTTCTGCGAGAAGCATTGCCTTTATCACTATTTCTTTTTTTTTTTTTTTTTATTAAAATGAGTGCACTAAACTCTAGACTCCCAATACCATGGCACCTGTGATCTGGCTCACAGATAGACCACTTCTGGCCAATCTACTTCAATACTGGCCGTTACATCCTGAAAACTGGTGTTGCATCAAACCAGTGAGTTCTTGCAGCTCAATATATGATCTTTCTTAGGTGCCTCACAAAGAGGTAGATGAAACCAAACTGTAGTGGAAGTATCTGCATATAAGTCTGTGTCTTTTAAAATGTTTGTCAGATATAGATTTTGACTTAAAGATCTGCATATATGCAGACAGCCCAGGCCCTTGTGTGCACACATACAGATCTTCATACATAATGCAACTGGTTCTCTCTGCACCAGCTGGTTTCAGGCTCTCGGTAAATTCTTGATTCTGTTTTCTGTGGGTGTTTTGGTTTGGTTTGGTTCAGTTTGGTTTGGTTTAGTTTGTTTTGGTTTGAACTCCTGCTGAGCAGTAGCAGGCTGGACAAACCCAGCCGACTTCTGACATTTGTGGAGAGACATTCAGCACACTCTGCTGTGACCCTTTGTGCAAGTGATTGTGTGCTCTGAAGAGCAGGGCTTGGACTGCATGTGAAAGTGCCCCGTGGCTGCAGAGAGCTCAAGTTTTAAATGATTGGAATGAGGTGGGAATATTGAGACAATTTTACTTTTATATCTCTAGTGAATATTGTTTAAATTGCTCCTTAAGAGAAGTGTCAGAGGCCTGATTCATCATCGTGGGCATACCTCACTGGTAATATATTCAAAGTGTAAGTTAACATGGCAAAAGCATTTTGCCAGTGCAGACTGACTTGAGAGCACTTCTAGTATGTGCTTGAGAGCATGTGCAGCATATTGCTGCTTTTACAGTGCTGAAGAGACATATATTTTGTATTTACCTTTCCTCTTGTTCTTTAGGCTTTGTCCAACACTGATTCTCCTCCTGACTCTGAGCTGGAGCCTACAATGAAACACAGCTTTGCTTTTGACAACATGGGCTACGAGGAGAGCTTTGAATCCCTGCCCTCTACATCTTCCCAAGAACACACTGTGGCAGTCAACGTCGTGGGAATGACTTGCCAATCTTGTGCACAGTCGATAGAAGGCCGAATTTCCAAGGTGAAGGGCATTGTGAGTATTAAAGTCTCCCTTGAACAGAACAATGCTGTAATAAAGTATCTGCAGACAGAAATAACTCCTGAACAGATTTGCCAAGAAATTCAGGATATGGGTTTTGATGCCAACATACCAGAAGAGAGACTGACACCAGCGACTGCAAGTTTGTCGTGCTTGAGAGAAGCAGTAGTTAAGCTTCGGGTAGAAGGCATGACATGCCAATCCTGTGTCACTAACATTGAAGGAAAGATTAGGAAGCTGCATGGTGTGGTGAAAATCAAGGTGTCACTTGGTAATCAGGAAGCAATTATTGCTTACTATCCTTACATCATTCAGCCTGACGACCTCAAGAGCCATATCAGTAACCTGGGGTATGAATGCAGCATTAAAAGTAAATCAGCCCCGTTGAAGCTTGGTGCGCTCGATCTTGGGCGCCTGAAGAATGCAAACCCCAGGGAGACACCAGGAAGTCTCGAGAGCGATGAGGTGGATCCACCGCTTGTCAAGATGAGAGGCATAGCCACGGTGGCTGTACGGATAGAAGGCATGCACTGCAAGTCCTGTGTCAGAAACATTGAAGGAAACATATCAGATCTTCCTGGCATACAAAGTGTTAAAGTATCTTTGGAGCATAAGCATGCTGTTGTACAGTATAGCCCAGATTTAATTACCCTGTCAGCTTTGCAGCAAGCTATTGAATCCCTTCCACCAGGAAACTTTAAAGTGTGTCTCCTCAGTGGTTCAGAAGTTAATAAGGGAGCATCTCCGTCACCTGCTTTGCTATGCGATCTCTTCAGAGAGCCGCTGCAAGACACGACATGCATGGCTGTTATTAGGATTGATGGCATGACCTGCAGTTCCTGTGCACAGTCCATAGAAGCGGCCTTGTCACAGAGACAAGGAGTGCAACGTATAGCAGTTTCTCTAGCTGACAGAACTGGGAACATACATTATGATCCAGCTGTCACTAATGGAGAAGAGTTAAGAGCTGCCATAGAAGACATGGGGTTTGGTGCTTCTGTGTTGACAGGTAACAGTGTTTTTTCTTCTGTGGGTAGTGTGACAGGCCGGGCCATGCGACATCTGTGTTGAGATTCTCTTCTGGAGAGAAAGTCTTAAAGCATCACATTGGCTTTATCTGTTTTAAGGGTCTAGCCTGATCTGATCTCACTCTAGCAAGGGAGAGAGATTTCAGCTGTGAAACACCTTATTTCAGCCCTTAATAACTGCACTAGTGGGTGGAAGAGTTGACTTACATTATGAAGCCAAAAGTTTGGAAGTTGGTACAAAGTCCTTCAAATAGCTGATCCTCTTACCCACTGAAGTAGATTTCCTACTTTGTCTACAGGCTGCTGTGAGTAGTCTATCAAACCAAATGTTTTTCTTTACATTCCAAAATACTAAAAAAACCCAAACACTTAATGAAATATCTTTCCTTTAAAACCACTTTTTACCCAGATAAAATTTCTTTTTAGTGTCCTAATCCTTTAACCTTTGTTTCTTGAGTATTTTTACTAGCCCTACTTTACTAAGCTTTACTTTCAGCAAGGTAAGTGCCAAAATGTGGGTAATCTTTGGTGGGAGCAGATGATTTTACATGTCAGCTGCATAACAGTTTGAACATTTTGTATATGCTCAATGTTTAAGAAGTTGCTATGCATAATCTCCTCTCCAATGAATTTCTAACGTGGCAATATTTATCTGCTTCAGGTCAACAGATTTGCTTTAAGATACTGCTATAGTTTTCCCAGAACGAATTAGTTTGATGGCGATAGACCACATCCTATTTATTTTTCTCATGGATCTAATCCCTCTGAATCTGTGGTACTACCACAAATGAGGAGGAACCTGTACATAGTGTTTAATTATGATTTGTTTGGTTTATAATTTGTTGGCGGGAGACCTTCCAGTCCATCTGCAGAAAAGGAGGGGAGCCCCTGTGTTTAACATGTTCAGAAGCAACTCTTGCAAACCTCTGCCCAAAGGGGGTTGTTTGTGAACGCAGCTGAAGCTGTTGAGTGTCTGTTCAGTATCTGGTAAAGAACAAAAATGACTACAACAGGCCAGTATGTGTGGACACCTTCTGGGTGGTGCAAATCCTTCCACTACTGGTTTAGCAGTACTTGCAGTGTAAATATTGTGCCATAAAAGGAAACCTGTTGAGAAATTTGTCGTTTTCCTTGTTTGAGATGAAGTGCTATGAGTCCTGCATAGACGAAAACAGGGACAGAATGGATGCGAGGCTGGACTGCGTTCTCTGTGCTGGATAAGGACCTTCTAGATACCAATATAACTTTATTGAGTGAAGGCAGCTGTCAGGTCTAGGCATTGAAACCGGAGGGAATCATTTGCCATCTGAAAGTGCAAAACTAGTTCTGTAGAGTTAAATTGTCATGCAAGTGGTACTGGTGAGTGTATATTGTTATATGCATAGTAAGAATCTATATGATTTCCATGAAGAGACTAAGATTACCATGTCACCTTTCAAACAAATAAGAGACTTTGCATGATTGGTAAATGTGACCTGCTTGTAGTTTTACGTCATCTGATCCCACTGTAAGTAGTGTTTGTTCAGTTTATTGTGCATTTATTCAAGATACTGCCGCTGGAGAACGTAGGCACCAGCCTGATGCCAGCAGTGCTGCCATGCAGCCTCGAGCTCCAGACCTTCCTCGCCAAGACTGTGCCTCACATGCTCTTCCAGACAGTCCTCACCTTGATGGTCCAAACCAGCCCGGCGGAGCGACAGCTGAAAAGTGTTTTTTGCAAATCACAGGCATGACCTGTGCGTCGTGTGTGTCTACCATTGAAAGAAATTTGCAGAAAGAAGATGGTAATAAATTTAAGATTCCTATAATGAGTCTATAAGGGACTCTGGGATGGAAAAGGTATTCTGTGAGATTAATGGAAGAGGCTGTGGTACCACATCTGGAGGTTTAATAGACTTAATGCTCTTTCTTAATGCTAATGTAACTATATCACTGTTTAACTATCCTACCGCACTGGTGGACAAACCCAATGGACACACTTGTATTGTAACAGTAAGTTGTTGTAACATGACAAAAATTTCAAATAAGGCTCAAGACAAGAACAGAGAAATGGTTCTTATTTGGTTTTCAGGGCCTTATTGCTTTACAGAACAATCCATCTCTTCCAGAGCTGTTGAGAGCTCTGACACACTTGTGATGTGAAACTTACCCTTCAGGGCACATTTGCACAACCAGGTACAAACAAATGTGTGGCTCCAGTGCCTGGGTAATTATATTAGCTTAGGCACAGCAAAGCTTATTAGGTTAGAAGTCTACAGACTGGAGCTTCCTTTCCTCTGGCCATACAGAAGATGAACAATGAGCCTCAGCAATGCCTGGTTTAATTTGTGTAGGCATGCCTTTGGAGGGTTTTGCTTATTGATTCCTGTGCCCCTAGTCTCCCAGTGATGGTCTCAGTGCCTTGATTTAAAAACCTAAGAACACTTCAGAACAATTTATTTTTTTTTGCCTGTGATCTTTGTTTTGCTTTTCAATTCTAAATGTAGATTTCTGTGATTTTATTCATTTAAAAAAAGAAGGGGGGGGGAAAGGGAAAACAAGAAAATAAAAAGGCTTAACATGTGCTGTGGGGTTTGTTTAGGGCTTTCCAAGCTTAGAGAGTGCAGGGTAGAGCTTGCAGCAACGAGTGCAAAGATCACTTCCGAGCATCCTTTTTGTCTCATTAGATCATAGCAAAACTCACTTTTTTCCCTGCGTAACTCATGCGGTTCCCCTCTTTGCTAAAGGGAACTGCAGTGTGGCTGGATCTCAAAAAAAACTTTGCTGTTGTGACAAGGGAGCAACACTAGAAGGAGGCAGAGAGAAATCGTTACGCTTATAATACCTCTAAGGTGTTACAGCCTTCATTGACAATCACTTGTAATAGTTTATATTTATTCCCCTCAAAGGAGCTACGTTATCCAAGATCTCTTATTGTTACCATTGCAGGAATTGTTTCAGTGTTGGTAGCACTGATGGCAGGTAAAGCAGAGATAAAATACAAGCCAGAATTCATACAGCCTCTTGAAATAGCACAGCTGATCCAGAAGTTGGGTTTTGAAGCTACTGTCATAGAAGACCATGCAGAAACAGAAGGAAATGTGGAGCTTCTTGTAAGTCATGTGTATTTGAAATTATACGTTGGTTTTGGAAAAATCAGATCTGAAAGAATAATTTTCTTGCAAATGCTTTTGTTTAAGGAGTTGTGGCTTCAGCAGGTCAGTTCTGGCTGGTGACACGATTTTTTTCTTAAAGACTAAAAAGACAAAATCAATTTTTCTTAGAATAACCTGTCCAAGGGTGCTGAAATAAACAGTGGTAGTTGTATGTACAGGATAGACTTTTCGTAGCAAGGAGAGATGAAACAGAACTTTTCTGTGAAGGTACTTCAGTCAACAGTACAGACTCTGAGCAACTGAGAATGTATCACTAAATACATGTTGATAATGCCTGGGGCTTTGTATAGAGGTCTGAGAACTTTGGATAAAATTAGTAAATTGTTTGTGTGAAGGACAGATTCTTCAAAAGTCTATTTTTATTCTCTGACATACACCTGCTATAAGACAGATAACATCAAGTCTGCAGTTGTGCTAATAGATCAGAAAGTGGGAACATACCTTATTGAAGCCACAGGGAAACTTAAGAAAGTGAGATGAAGTTACACATGCAGAGTTTGACTTCAGCAATGTTAATATAGCTGCTGATAGAACTATATTAGCTATACTATTGCAGTGTGTGAGTGCTGCTATACAAACATGCAGCTGTGACTATTGCTGTGGCAGGGAGATTGGAACTAGATGATCTTTGAGGTCCCTTCCAACCCAAACTATTCTATGATTCTATGATCCTATAATTCTATGATTCTATAAGTGCTGGTTGCATAAGTTTATATTAGAAGTGGATAGTTATGTTCTCAGCTTTGTTTCATTTAAGACAGCTCGATAAAATCTTCATGCTGAGTCCTTGGGTCAGTACCAGCAGAACTTGAATAGTCATTAGGACCTTTGTGACATGGGGAGGCCATGTCTCCAGTTAATCCACAAATACTGGGTGAATATGGGGTACTGCTAACTGTACCTAAGTTTGTCTTTTCTTTAGATTACAGGCATGACTTGTGCTTCTTGTGTTCACAATATTGAATCCAAACTCATGAGAACAAGTGGCATATTCTACGCTTCAGTTGCACTTGCTACTTGCAAAGCTCGCATCCAGTTTGATCCTGAAATCACTGGACCTCGAGATATTATAAAAATAATTGAGGTAGGCTTTAGAAATTTTTTATGTATGAACAATTATAAGGTGAAGTCAGAAAGGAAGTAAAGCTGATATTTGAGATGTTTCGCAGACTTTTGCAGATTACATGGCAATTGCCATATGATTTTATGCTCTTCTGGTGAAGCTGCTGTGCTGCACAGTAGTGCGTGGTCTCCCAGGTTGTTACTCTAAAAACACACCCTAAAAACTACAAAAAGAAAACTTTTTTTTATCTATATCTGGTAAAAGTGTCACATATTCATTCTTTGCAGTTCTGTGTGTAGAATCATGTGTCTCTGATTTCCGGTCATTTTAGTGAAGTGTTGATACTTCAGAAAAAAATAAAAATGCTACTTTCCCTTGCCAGTGAAAGAGGCTGTAAAAGAAGTTTTACAGCAGCTTGTACCACAAGTATTACACATCTCTGTGTACAGTGGCATTTATTCCCACATCAATTCAGAGAATAATCTTTGAAACCAGTGATACAGCCACTAAATGAAAAAAATCCTGGCTTACCAGTAACCTCACAGATCATAAAATTTGCCGTTCTCATGGCCCACGTATGGACAAAACTTTTTCCTTCTTTGCCTCACCAGAAGCGAAGAGAACTTACTGTATGAGGCACATGCAGTGACTAGTTAGGAGGACACCAGAGACTATTTGACTTTCGTGTTCTAAAGTATTTACTCAGAAAAAAGCTCCGAGACTGCAGAATTAGTGTGGCAGCGGTGATTAACATGTTAACTCGTAGACTCTTCAGGCTGGCAGAGTAGTTCTGTAAAGTGCATCTTGCCACCGGAGCACCTCATGATGCAGATATGAAGTTTAAGTGTATTGTGCTTGCAGATGTTCTTTGGCTTTTTTGTGTTTGTTTTTTTTGTGTTTTTTTTTTTTTTTGTGGAGGGGGTGGTTCTACTGCAGTAACTCACTGAAGCATCAGTCAGAACTGGCTTTTTGTGTGTGTTTGTTTCTGGGATGATTCGCCCTGCAGTTTATTTTTTTACAGGTTTAAGCTGATTCTAGCCACTTTGATTTTCAACTTCAGGTGTATCTACTCAACTGTAGTGTTAAGGAGATACTTGCAAGGTTGACTAGCCCAGGGACTTGTATGTTTTTACCTTCCTTTGTGATATTTCCCAACTCTCATACTTATTCCAGTGGAGATGAAAGGGTGTAAATTTCCCTTGAGGAGGAGGGCAGCAGAACTCCAGCTTTCAGTGGGAGCTTCCTGTGCCTAAGAAACCTGGAACACTTAGTGCATCTATACACTGTGTCCATGTATAGGTAGCAGAAATCCTTTGCAGTCCACATTTTGAGTACTGTCTGAAATATCCTCATATGTTGGCAGGATCTAAAAATAAATAAGAAGTTGGCATTTATTAAATATGAAACAGTGTCCTTTTCTGACATTTCTTCTAAAAGTGGTGTCATTTAAACGTGTTATAAGTAATATGGTTAGTTTAATCAAAACTAACGTGTCTTTCCTCCTCTTCCAATAAAAAGGAAATTGGCTTTCATGCTTCTGTGGCTAGAAGAGTTCCAGGTGCACATAACCTGGATCATAAAAAGGAAATACAGGAGTAAGTATTTCTCTTTCTCTCTCACTAATGAATGTGTATAAATCACCTCTTGTAACTTACCTCCCTCCCACTTCCCAATTAATTTAGCTTATCCTTGTGTAAAGCGTATTTAATTTTATGATTTGCCATTTGGTTCAAGTACTTTTATTACTTTCATTAGTTTCAGTGTTTAACTGATAGTCTATACAGTTAAACATGTAGGAGACACTGAAACTGTCTCGAAGTGTTGGATCTTTCCCAAATATCCTGAAACTGTGTGTTAGTACAGTACTAATACCCCAAGCTCTGCACTGCAAGTGCACTGTTTGACCTGCGTATTGCGGGGTGTACGACAACCAGGGATTTACAGCTTCTACTTTTCAGGTGGAAGAAGTCTTTCTTGTGCAGCCTACTGTTTGGTATCCCTGTCTTGATCCTAATGATTTATATGCTAATACCTGACGGTGAGAACCATGGGTCTATGGTGCTGGAACAGAATCTCATTCCTGGATTATCTATTTTGAATCTTCTCTTCTTTGTCCTGTGCACTTTTGTTCAGGTATGTCCACAGTACTTCGTAGGGGTTTGCTTTTTATTCATCTCCCATTTATGTAATCTGATGTGATAAAGACAAGAAACAGGAAAGGTTTAGTGGATTAGCCGAGCCCTCTTGTCTGTACCACCTATGCAGGACGAAGTGACACTTTTCCGCTAGTTATCTATTCTGGAATTGCTCTACAGCTTTTACTCCTGCCAAAGTCACGTCAGATAGTTTTCCAAGTGGGGAAGGTAGTGTTAAAATGAAGAGATACCTGTTAAGCCACAAGCTAACTGGGTAGCTATGGGTAAGTTCCTTCAACTTCTGTGGCTTATTTACTTTGCACTGCTGAGGGAAAGGATGATATTTAGCTGGCAGAGTTGTTCTGAGAAAAAGGAAGGGCAAGTGAGAGGATGACAATGGAGTCAGCCTCCACTAACTCCACTGAAGTTATATCAATATAAAATTTGTATGGGACAGCAATGCCTTCCCTTATCATAGAATCATAGACTGGCATAGGCTGGAAGGGACCTTAGAGATCATCTAATCCAACCTCCCTGTCATGGGCAGGGCTGCCTCTCAACTAGATCAGGCTACTTATACTTATTATAAACTACTACGTGTTTATAATTCTGCTACAGGCAGTATTATGTACTCTCTGTTTTCAGTTATGTACTCTCTGCTTTCACTGCTGTCATCTTAATATGAGCCTGTCCATGCTTAAATCAACAGTTTCTTGGTGGATGGTATTTTTACGTACAAGCTTACAAATCGCTGAAGCACAAGACAGCCAATATGGATGTGCTCATTGTACTGGCCACGACGATTGCTTATGTGTATTCGTGTGTGATCCTGTTGGTAGCAATAATTGAAAAGGCAGAGAAAAGCCCTGTCACTTTCTTTGACACTCCTCCGATGCTGTTTGTGTTCATTGCCCTTGGGAGATGGCTGGAACACATAGCAAAGGTAACTCATCTTCACACTAATTATTGTGTATTTATGATAAGAGCAGAATAAAACTATTCAGAGGAATTTTGAGTCAGATGTTTCTGATGTAGCCTGTATTATGCAAGATCATTCAGAGTTCATTGTGTTAAGTAGACATCAGCATTTATATATCTCAATATATCTTAAACATTTCTGTTTCTTAGAGTAAGACCTCAGAAGCTCTTGCTAAACTTATATCTCTTCAAGCCACAGAAGCCACTGTGGTGACTCTTGGACCTGACCACTCTATCATCAGGTAAATATTTATGAACCAACACCCCTTCAGCTTACCTGAGTGCACAGAGTAGGCTTGATGCAGTTAATGTGAAAGCATTATTATTCTTTTGAAGAATAATAATGAGTTATTCTTTGATGATGTAAATAATCTCTCTGTTCTATTTGTGTCTTTTGCAGGGAGGAGCAGGTAGCTGTCGAACTGGTTCAAAGGGGTGATATTGTGAAGGTTGTTCCTGGTGGAAAGTTCCCAGTGGATGGAAAGGTCATTGAAGGCAGTTCTATGGCAGATGAGTCTCTCATTACTGGTAACTTCCCTTACACTTACACAAAGAAGTGAATTCTTCTAGAACACTTTCTTACAAGAAGAGAGAGCAGACCCGACCCAAAAGCTGCTGTCTGAATAACCTCCCACCTTAATGGACGCTGTGCCTGGCCTTTGTGAGCTTGAATCCAAGTCCTGCATCTGCACACACCCTAAAAATCTGAAGAATTTCCGCTCAGTTTGGTTAATTTTACTAATGTACTGATGGGATGGGTAGAGTCTAAACACTATTGTCATTATTCCGGAGATCTGGTGGGAGTTTCCCCTGGAATGTGTTTGTAGAGATGGTACCTTCTCAGAAAGAACTTCTAAAGGACGATGGGGAAATATTGCTGAGATGCAGGGGTGTGTATGCATGGGCACTGAACAGGGCTTCTGACAGGGATCTGCCAGTGAGCATGAAGAGAGAAAGCAAGCCTCATGACTTGATGCTCATTAAGGGTCATGGGACTTTTTCACAGCTTCCGAAATTTTAGTTTCATTTTGTAAATATAATAAGGATTTACTGCATCATGCAGTTCTTATAAACAAGGTAAAGGATATGAAAACTTTACATTGGCATTGGCTCACTTGTTTTAGTTATGTATTTACTCTGCTTGGGCAACAGGGACACCCTTAGTTTAAGAGAACCAGTCATTATCACTAACCCTAAAAACAGAGAAAATAAAGGTTTTGTGGAGCTAGCATTCTTGGAGAGGCAGCATGAGAACAGGAGCTTTGCCACAGAGACAACTTTTCTAGTCTTTGAAAAGCAAGAGTGGTGGAAATAAAGACAGATTGCTCAAACTCCCATGGCTGTGCAAAGCAGTAATTGGAGAAATTCTTAGTTCCTTTTTCAATCAATTTACTCCTGGCCCTTTTATGGCATACTGAAGGGTTAGGACCAAGGAAACACCATTTGCTTTGAAACTAGACCTAGAAAAAGGTTTATAGAAGTATCATAGGACTTATACATGTCTTCACTAGACAGAGATATACAATATGTGATTTCTTGTCATTGTTGCTGATTTTGCCAGCATACAGTGAGCTGTGTGCTAATGAACTATGTTCACTGTTATATGTGGTATTGCCTCATTTATTCTTATCTTTTCTTTCTAGGGGAAGCTATGCCAGTCACGAAAAAGCCTGGGAGCACAGTGATTGCTGGTTCTATAAATGCACATGGCTCAGTTCTTGTTAATGCAACTCATGTTGGTAATGATACCACTCTGGCACAAATCGTGAAATTAGTGGAAGAAGCTCAAATGTCAAAGGTAAAAATAATAGAAAAGAAAGACTATTCACAGATTTTGATTACATAAGAAAAAGGTTCTATATGTTTATATATTTACTTGTTCAACAAGCTGTATGTTTTCTAGACTTCAAAAAAGAATCAGATGAAGAATATTAGGTATTTTCATGAACTCTACATACTTATGTGTTTCGATCATAAACAAACAAATACATATTTTTCTTTTTTATAGGCACCCATCCAGCAACTGGCAGATAAGTTTAGTGGATATTTTGTTCCATTTATCATCATCATTTCAACAGTGACATTGATAGTATGGATCACAATTGGTTTTATAAATTTTGATGTTATTCAAAAATATTTTCCTGTAAGTAATTTCATTAAGAGCTGGATTTTGGTGTTAGGATATCTTCCAGTGTAATTAACAAACCTCTGTGTGTAAGCTTTGATGTTGCAACCTGGCAAATACTTTTGTACAACATGATGTTTTCTACACAGAGCAGATAATTGCACTAATTAAAATCTGTCTGCAGGTATAAAATATACCTTTGCATTTACCCCTTAGTTCTGCCTGGGGTTCCTACAAACTGAAATTGTCGGCAGTCTTTCTGGACTAAACGTGATCTAATGCTGCATTGCAAGGAACTGAACCATTCCTATATTGCTTGGCATTTTTTTGGACATCCTGTTGCTGATGGCAGGTGGTAGGTTTGGCGTTAGAAAGCAGATGAGCTTCTATTATCTTTAGGATGTGTATTTGCTCTGCTCAGCAACTGTGGGTACCTGTCTGTGTACCTGGAAATAGGGTTCTCCTTTGCTAAGCTATAAGGAAATGCCAGCAAGTTATGTTGTCATCCAGGAGCCTGAGAGCAGAGTCGAGCATATGTGTGCTTGAGTAGAAGAAAATCCAGAAAATACTGCCATAAGCAATTTGTCACATTGACCTTTCTCTACCATTGTAGTAACAATAATAGATTGCTTTCCTATACTGGAGGTTTCCAGGTAAATATGTTTTTTGAAATAGCTATGATTGATTGTATATCTATGTTATCTTCACATATGTCAGCAATCATATCTCTCTCTCTTTCCCCCTTCCCTCTTCTTGCAGAATCAGAGCAAACAAGTTTCAAAAGCTGAACTAATACTGAGGTTTGCGTTTCAAACGTCAATCACCGTGCTGAGCATTGCATGCCCGTGTTCTTTAGGCTTGGCTACCCCCACAGCTGTGATGGTGGGCACAGGAGTTGCTGCGCAGAATGGTATTCTCATCAAAGGTGGAAAACCCCTGGAAATGGCACACAAGGTTAATAGTTCACTCTGTACTTTTGTACCTTATCCAGCTGTTGCTACATGAAATAAAATTTCCCAGGAAATCTTCCTGGACCAGAGAAAGACTGCAGAATGTTGTTTGTTTTTCATTCTGTTGGTTGCTGCCCATTAAGATAAAGAAGACAGATCTGACCTTCTTTCTTCAAAGCAGTCACAGCAAAGTGTTGAGAGCCAATAGTTCCTGCAATCTCATGCCAGTGAGGCTGCTAATCTTCTGCACGACCTCAGAGGTTTCTGACTTTTGCACTCTTTATCTCTTCTGCAAAAGAGCCCAATAATCCAGTGTTTTCCTTCTTTCCTCAGTGAGCTGTTGTGAAATGCATATTGTTCATGATCAGTAGTTTTAAACATAGGATGTAAGAGAAAAACGGAATGATCTGAAGTTCTTTTAGTGTATAGAAAAAAGATGGAAGGGAGGCAGAAAAAGCCCTTCAAAGACAGAAAACTGATGAAAAGAGGAGGAAGAGGAGGAAATTGAAGGAGAAGGAGGTTTGACATGTCCACAGCCAGTGAAAAGAATGCGAGTTTAAACCATGCTATGGTACACTGGATTAGACATAGGCAGAACATTTTAAGTGAAAAGTATAGTAAGAATAAGTTAATCAGACTGATAATATTTGTTCTTACTGGACATTATAAAGGACAGACCAGAATTTTCTCCAAGACTTTGCAAAAAAATAAAAAATGACTGCTAATTAGCGTCAGGACTTTTTACCTTTTGAATCTAAGTGAGGCTAGGATCAGGGTTTGGAAAATTAGGTGACCTCTTGGATTCTGGAAAGCTGGTGGGTTGGAATAGCTGGAAATGGAAATAGTGCCTACTTTGTTGAATCTTTTGGTTAGTGTGTTTCTCTGTACCATGTTTATTTTCAAGACCCATTGGGCTGGCTAACAAGTGATCGCTGAATTTGGTGAATAGCATGAGGTTGAGTTTGGTTAGGTTATTGTTTCTGGAACTTGCTGCATCATCTTGCACTCTTCCCACCTGCTCATATCACCAAATAACTTCCAGAGTCCTCTTTCCTCAGTGCTACTATTAACTGTTTAGAACAGCATTTGTAAAAGCCCTGCTTGCATCGTATACCTTGCAGGTAAAAGTGATTAAGGAGCCATTACGTGAGTCCTGCATGTGAATACATACACACACACACACAAAGGACAGCACAAGACCCGAAGTGACTGTGTTGTCTGAGATCCTGATATAGATACAGGATGATGTTGTAGCTTCAGTGAAATCACTGTATAGTGAACGAATAAGAAAGCATAAGGAGATGTACTGTACAGATAGTGCAAGGTACATACAGGAATCACTACTTTTGTAAGTTTATTGCGTCTTGGTGTGGATGTAGTCAACTGATTATTAAGGCCTTGCCTGTATTTATGCACCTAAAGCGTATGAGGATCCCTATGCTTGCAGGGCTTAGGCAGTAACTCTGGTTTATTCTTGCAGATCAAGACTGTGATGTTTGATAAAACTGGGACCATCACCTGTGGAGTTCCTAAAGTCATGAGGGTGCTTTTGCTGGGAGACACGGCTGTGCTCTCTCTGAAGAAGGTGCTGGCGGTGGTTGGCACTGCAGAAGCCAGCAGCGAGCATCCTTTAGGAATGGCAGTCACTAAATATTGCAAAGAGGTACGTAGCCTTCGTGTTTCATCTAAGGCCTGAAGGGATCTGTGCAAATGCAGCAATGTTGTATGAAACGAGCAAGTCCCAGAGGGGCAGGCCTGCCTGAAAAGTGACAGACTGGAAAGCTGGCAGATTTTATAATTGTGCATTTAGTCTGAACAATACCAGAAGGCACATTCTAAGCTTTGCTTTTCTGGTAATGCTGTGGAGTTCTCAAGCAAAATCTTACAAAGTTTTTCCTGAACTAGTGGGAAAAGAAAGATTGTGGAATATGTGCAGGAGGAATACTTACACTCAAAATAGCGTTGTGAAGCAAATGTGCGTGGTGATATTTCGTATGTTACCTGATTGTAGTCACTTCTATTAGTCACTTGCTTATCTGATTAGACAAAAAACTTTGAAACCTCAATATTAAACTGTGATATTTGTGAATATCACGAATGAATTAATAGATTACTCAAGTCTTTGCAAATTTTGCAAATCTTCAAAGGTCATTTAAATATGACATGTGTTACTCAAATGTTTCCGGAAGAATGAAGCACAAATAGTAACCAAATAGGAAGCATGGTTTAAAGAAATAATTTATTTCTGCTAAGATAAGTCATTAATTTTACATTTTCTGTTTTCAAATTTGTCTTAGTTCCCTGACACTTCTGTAGTCATCCCATGCACCAGTTATTACTGGATCATGGCTTATACGAATTGCAATGCTATACTGTTTGCTTATATTCTTACCACCTGCTTTATCGTCCCTGTGTTATAAAAACTGAAAGGTACACGTAATTCCAACTTCCAGAGACAAACAAGACTAACTTGTTTATAAACTGGTGTTTGCTTTTCTCATCTTGAAGGTACTCATTGGCTTCTCTCCTTAACTCAACAGAAAGACTATTTCCTTGTCATCCAGCCAGATCACTCCAAGAACTAGATACAGTTTTTTCACTTACTTTTACATGTATATAGGCAGACTGATCCCTCACAGCCCCTTGGCTGTGAGGTTAATTGGAAGTTGCATCTTTTCAGAACCTGTATGACTTATTGTTACAGTGTTTCTCTTTAGTTCCTAGTCTTGGCTGAGGTCATGAACCACCAATGTAACTGTGTAACTGCTTGGTCCTTGAACTACCAGATGAAACTGTACTTTATGGCTTGCTGCTGCTAGGGCTGAGACCTGGATGTGATCTGTATGGCTGCCCCTTTCTAGAAGTCTAAACCACAGCATGTCCAGAACATCCTTATTTTTAGATCATAGAATCATAGAATCATAGAATGGTTAGGGTTGGAAGGGACCTCAAAGATCATCTAGTTCCAACCCCCCTGCCATGGGCAGGGAAACCCTCCACTACACCAGGTTGCCCAAAGCCTCATCCAACCTGGCCTTGAACACCTCCAGGGATGGGGCATCCACAGCTTCTCTGGGCAACCTGTTCCAGTGCCTCACCACCCTCAGAGTGAAGAATTTCTTCCTTATATCTAATCTAAATCTCCCCTCTTTCAGTTTAAAGCCATTACTCCTTGTCCTATCACTACACGCCCTTGTAAAAAGTCCCTCTCCAGCTTTCCTGTAGGCCCCCTTTAAGTACTGGAAGGCTTCTATAAGATCACCCCGGCGCCTTCTCTTCTCCAGGCTGAACTCTCTCAGCCTGTCTTCAGAGGAGAGGTGCTCCAGCCCTCGGATTGTCTTCGTGGCCCTCCTCTGGACTCGCTCCAGCAGCTCCATGTCCTCCATGTGCTACTGATGCTCCATGCTGCTTTTCTGTCAGTCAGTCATTGTCAAGAGGAGGAATGAGACCTTTTTTCCACAGGAGTTATCTAATATGTGTACACCATGTGAGCAGCACAGACTAATGATGAACTGTGATTACATCCACAGGAACTTGGCACTCAGAGCCTGGGATACTGCACTGACTTCCAGGCAGTCCCGGGCTGTGGCATCAGCTGCAAAGTTGGAGGTGTTGAAGCTGTCCTGGGCATAGCCGAGGAGGATCTTGATAAACTGGACACTAAAAGGAGCAGGGACAGTGGTGCTCCTCTGGGAGATAACGTGCTGATCACGCTCTCCGAATCACATGGTATGTCTGCCCCCGAAGTGACCGCCAGTCGCAATGTGAGGCCTAATGGATGAACAGTGCCAATCACTGTAAACCAATCCTATTAGACTAGGAACAACAGAGAGGTGGATTTATGGCAGAAAGGGGCAAAGAACACAAGGGACAAGAATGCACCTTAATAAATATTGAAGTCTTTCCCGTAGTCTCTATTGCTCTTTGATTCAGAACCTAAATAAGAGCTTAGGTGCTACAGTGATGGGTGCTCAAAAAGTCCTTACAATACATAAGCCATACCCAGCAATGTTCCTTTTGGATAGAAGAATGGTCCAGCAGAGGGTAAAGTTTACCAATTAGCATTATCTTCCCATTTAGAGCAGTTACCTTTAACATACATTATCTTGCTACTACTTTTTATATCCTACCCTTTAGTTCCATATTAACTTGGACCTTTTGTTTTCTGTTCATGTATCTCTCAAGGCACTTACTTGAAAAAAAATCTATTCGGCAGATGCACAATAAAGCGCGTTATATCTTCAAACCAAGTTTCAGTGCCTCATGTTTTTGATTAGGCAAATTCATTTGTTTTTGTTTCAGGCTTTGTGGAAGCCACTTTGCTCTTTTGTAGTGTAGGAGAGAAAAAAAAAGTATTTAAAAGCTTCCTTAAGAAGCTCATCAGTTCTCTTCAGAAGACTGTGGCTCTGCTGACCTTTTTGAGAAAGCTCGTAGAAGAATTAAATAAAATAAGAACTTTAATCATCGGAACTGTGCCATGATGTTAATGATGTAGTATTTTTTCTCACCTGCTTCATACGGCTCTTGTGAAGTTGGATTGAATTCATAATGAGGTGCTTTACATACTGTTTCATTGTTTGTTAGAACAAAACTACTTTTTTTCTTACCAGAAATAGCCTTTATATTTGAAAGAAGTCATTAGTTGTGAGAACAAAGCAGCATGGCACTTATGAAATGTGCATACTGCACTTACCCAGAAAAACAATGCCAACTGGCAAAGGCAAATAGAGGCAAATACTCCCATTAAGTTCATGACGCAGTTCTGTGTATAAACAGGCACAGATTGAGTCCTGAAGCAGAAAAGTTTTATGAGGCTGTCTTCACGTAGTGCCTATGCATTTCTGTTTGACCATGACAGCAGCACTTCAACAAGACTCATTCTGTTTGTGTCTTGGGTGTGACCATTGCCAGTCTGGAACACACACAAAAAAATAAAATTAGGAAAACCTCTTCAGAATATCTTTCTGAAGCTAATGCAACCTGATGTTGTCATCCTTAAGCATCTCTGGCTTGTGTTCGCTATTTTTGAGTTGCTCGTTTTTCTTTTTGTTTGCGCGCAAAGGTCCATCAACTTGTCGTACGTACTTGGTGTTGATTGGAAATCGCGAGTGGATGAGACGCAATGGCTTGCATATTGCAAATGATGTCAACGACGCAATGACAGACCATGAAATGAAAGGACAGACCGCCATACTAGTGGCTATTGATGGTAACTGCTGTGCTTCGATGTGACTTAATAAATATCAGTTGATGCTACCACTGAATGGAAAAAAACCAAACTTTGGAGCAATTGATCAGTGGCTTAGTCAAGAAACTACTAATGTTTTAGCGCAGAACTGCTTGTGAACTGCAGAATATCAAGGTGTTCTTAAAGGAAGCTTTTACCTCAGAACAGCGTTTATAAGATTTTGTTGGGTAGTTTTTAGTTTAAGTATTAATTCCTGAACCTCCTGCTGTCTAGGACTGTTGTTCAGAAAAGCAGTGCCAGTACAGTGGCATGTCCTGTCCTGATTTTACATCACTTAAGGATCACATGCCACCCTATTGCGTCACTGATTTCAAAACATTTCATGAATAAACATGGTGATTCATTAGATCATTCAAGTATAATAGATTAGACTAAATGAGTTTTGCCAGAGGGGTTCTGTTCTGTGCTGCGCAGAAAGAGATCCCAGACAATACCTTAATATGAGAAACTGCTCTAACGGTGATAGATTGCCAGTGCATCTGGGATCTTGCAATGGGGCCTCTGATTCAATTACTTAATAAATATTCCTGGTGCTCCTCTAGAGCCATTTTCAGAGGCATTTGTGTGTCTCAGCCTGGGCTCCATCAGCAGCCCAGCAAAATGAAGTGCTCTTAACATGGAAATAAGGGCTCTGATGTACAACTGGCATTCCTATCACTGCTAGTGATGGCAAGTAGAGATACAGGGGTGAAAAACCTACTTAAGTCCTTACTTTTGAAAGGTAATATGCACTGATAAACCAATGTGAGATTTTTGTAAGTAAGTCACACGAAGGAAACGTGGATGCACCTTTGAGTCAATGTGTTGGAAGGCAGGTGCAACATTGTATTTATTAATTGTAATAGAGATCCAACCCGGAAAGATTAAGGAACATAAAACCAGATAGTCTGTATGCTTCCTCCTGGAGCAGTAACTTCAACATCTGACCTAGCCACAAATACCAAAACTTTCTCTGGCCCACTATTGTAATTGTTAATACCATAAAACCTAGAAGTCAGGCACATTGAAAAGCTACCCTCCTCTTCTCACCTTCCTCCTGTTCCCTAAATATCAAAGGTATTTGTTGTTCGATCTGAAACAGAAAAATGAGAAAAGTGTGTGTGTGTAAGAAAGAGACCATAACTTAGAAAACTGTAGGAAGTTGTTCAGGCTTATGGGTGTCAGTATGAGTGTCAGTGCCTGGAGTGTGTTATTTCACAAGCTGCCATGGTGTGATGGAGGGGAAGACCTGTTATTTTGCTGCCACTTTGCCTCACACAGTTGTATCTTACAGAAAACTTTTCTTTGTGCAGGTGTGTTGTGTGGAATGATCGCAATAGCAGATACTGTCAAGCAGGAGGCAGCCCTTGCTGTGCATACGCTGAAAAACATGGGAATAGATGTGGTGCTGATAACGGGGGACAACAGAAAAACTGCAAAAGCCATTGCTACTCAGGTATCTGCTGCTTTGCGTTTCAAAAAAATACACGATGAGGTTCTAAAACTCTGCTTACCCCAGTGAATTTGGAGCAGGAACTCAGAATTTCCCTGGATACGTTAAATGAAGGCTAATTTTTCTTGAATTGCATTGAAAATCAGGTCAGGTCAATGGCATAATAAAGGCCAGGGGCTGCATTAAGATCCCACTGAAGACAAGCAGTCAGTACTTCTCCAGAGGTACAGTTTCCTGCAGTTATTAGTCCGTTGCTGAACTGGAGCCTCCTGCTTCCCTTCACTGAAAGGCAGTCATATTTGGTTAGTGACAAAGGAAAGTTCCTTTAAGGTCCAGTCCTGTTCCCAATAAGGGAAGTGGAGATTTGTCATTATCTTTAAGAGTAACATAGTAATAACAATAAGAATTATTGTTAAGAAGCATAGCAGTCTAGAAGAGGTTGGGTTTATATGAGGTTTCCTTAATCTCAAGCTATAAATGTTGCTCCAAAGGCAAAGCCAAATTCTCACTCAACCTTGCTACGTTTCCACCCTCTCCATCTTCGTTTTTCCCTTTGCATTCGTCTACTTCTAATCTACATGTGCCACCTTGCTTTCCTAAGGTATCCCACCACACAGCTAACTTAGCTGGCACTGTGGTATGAACGTTCTCATATGCTGTGAGGTCTGTTTTGTTTCTTGGTGTGATGCCTTAATCCTTCTCTTATTTTGATTCGTGCTTTCACTTTTATGTTCAATTGTGGTAAAGCACTTTCTCACCCCACCTTTCATTGTTAAGAGAAGTCTTTCAGAAACAAACTTTGCTTTACGGTTCCAGGCACTCAAGTGAAGCTTTCAAACAAGCTTAGTCTGTGCCAACCTACATTTTCATTGAATTTTTGGCTATTAGATCCTTTCCAATGGAAAAATGGTAAGTCAGTCCTATAAACTTTTAAAAACGTTACTTTTTGAAAGGTTAAAAGACAGCTTCTACCTTGTGTAGTGAAAAGCTGATCTCTGCCTGGTGAGGCAGCCAAACCAGGGCCATTATCTCAACCCTTTTCAGTACACCACCCTGTTTTTCAACTACAGCACTAAAGCCATTGGTGGCACCTCCATATTAGTAGAGATGTGGAGAAGTGCAAGTGTTTAGCCAGCCATCTGCTTTGTTTTCATAGTTTCCCTGAGAGCATGGCTTTTCCCAGCAGCTCTGCAGTAAAGATGGAGGGAGTTGTTATCAGTCCCTTTCTTATGCCAAAGGCATGTCGCTTTTCAGCTTTCTGTGTAACTTGCAAGCGTTTCCTCCACCAGAATCAGTTTGGTTGATCTTCCTATGTTTCCTCTTCACGCAGAACAGCAAATGGCTCTTCCTTTTAGCATGAAGCATATCACCAACTGGGTATGTTTCTTTCTTTGTACATAGGTTGGGATCAAAAAAGTCTTTGCTGAGGTTCTTCCTTCTCACAAGGTTGCAAAGGTCCAGGAGCTCCAAAATGGGAGGAGGAAGGTTGCAATGGTTGGTGATGGAGTCAACGATTCCCCTGCACTCGCCAGGGCTGATGTTGGAATTGCAATTGGAACGGGCACCGATGTTGCCATTGAAGCAGCAGATGTTGTTCTTATCCGGGTGAGCACTGCAGTTTTGACCTGTCCTCTTGTATCACTGACACTCCTCTTTTTGTTTTGATATTCTGAAGGCTGCATGTGGAAAACTTTCAATGCTCTTCTGTCTTGCAGAACGACTTGCTGGATGTAGTTGCCAGTATTCACTTATCAAAGAGAACAGTTCGAAGAATACGAATAAATCTGATTCTTGCCTTAATTTATAATATGCTTGGAATACCCATAGCAGCAGGTATGTGATTGCCAGAGCTCAACTTGTTGAAGATAGCAGCACAGTTGAGTTCAGTGGTGCCTCTCGCAAGGTTTCCTGTTCAAGCAACCAAAGAGAGGTTCCTAGGGTATTTAAAACTCGGAAGAAGGAGGACAAGATAAATACATTATTTTTTTTTCATGTTGTAGAAAAAAAAATCTTTGTTCCCCAAATTTTAAACTCTTAGGAATAAATTCTTATATGATGAAATTAAAATTATGCTCTTACTTCGCATAGCCATACTTGGGGATTAGTTTCTGTGTATTCAAACCCAGCTCTAATCAGAGATACCAGCCGCCTTCTGAGTGCTCCCTCTTTTATACATCCTGAATCACATGTTTTCTCTCCTATTACCTGCATTCTTTCTGCTTCTGTCAGATATCTTCTCATGCTCCAAATTTCTCCTTAAAACTCACTTCAGGCATTCCTCTTTTTCTTTATGAATAAGTTCTCCCTCCTTTGCCTGGACTATTGCCTTGTCTTTCTGTTGATTTTGCTTCATTTCGTATGTGCAGAATAGCTGGGAGGGACAAACAGTCTTACCTTGTGACTGCAGTCTTGTAGCTGAATTGGTGCAAAGGTCATCCCTTGCAATGGAAGGGACATATTTAAAAATATGGGAGTAAATATATATTGATCTAGTTGTGTTTATGGAGGTCTCAGCAAGTCACGTTGTGAGCTACTGATCTGTTCTATGATATGCAGGGACAGAAATGTCTGTATTCTGTATTGGGACAGGCATCTCTGGCTGATGTCCATATGTCTTTTTGCTAGGTGTCTTCATGCCTGTTGGCCTCGTGCTTCAGCCTTGGATGGGATCAGCTGCAATGGCAGCTTCTTCTGTGTCCGTTGTGCTGTCTTCCCTGCAGCTGAAGTGGCAAGTTATCTTACGCTAAGCAATTGGGGAACCATGGGCAGCACTGCTGCTGTGACTCGTGAAGCTTTGTACGCCTAAAAGTACCTGATGGTCCTTTAGCTTGGAGCTGTTTTGTCTAATTCTAGGCTCCAAAAGAGACAGATGTCACTATTATGAACACATCTGGACTAAGACAATACTGAGCATTCTTTAACTAGCAGCTAAAAGAGTGGCTGGATGCTACCTGAGCACCTTTGTTGGATATCTAGTTCAATACCAAGTGAGGAAATGGTCAGCACTGGTTTTGCGGTGAATATTAAGTGAACAAATAATTCAAAAGACAGTTCTCCATGATGTAGCAGTAGATTTTTTTAAAAAAGATTTGTACCTGGTTTTATTTTTTTTGTCTTAATTTAGCCAAACAGGGAAGCAGTGTATTTATTCTTTTGCACCTTGCTACAAATAAAGTATTGTGCTCTACTTTTTTGGAAGTGAATCAATTTCTGAACTATAACAAGATTTTTCAAATTCTATTAATTTTTTTATGCTACGTTTTTTGAATGCTCTTTTTGAGTGCAGTCACAGTCACAGTGGACCTGTTTTTAACAGCATTGTTAGCAAACATCTTTCAAAAATAAGACTTTTTATGGTGTCTGAAATTAGTCCAAACCTTCAAATATTTCTACAGTAGCTGGAGTCTTCTGTATAGTATAGCATAGCATAATATAGTATAGTACAGTACAGTTCAGTGTAGTGTAAACTAATATAGGAAATCTGTTGCAGCATCATGGTTCTGACCTGCAAATGCTCAATGAGACCAGAATCTATAATAAAAACTATGTATGTGCTCATATCTATTTGCAGAATCAGCCCTACCACTGCAGGATTTTCATCCTAAAAAACTTTCTGTGTGTAGTTATCCAAAAGATGAAAAATTTCTATAAAGATATCCTTTTATTCTTCAATTATTTTGATCTTGTGCTGATTACATTGTTTGGACACCATTGTGTTAGATATTGAGAACCCCTCGAAACATATTTGGCTTCAGACTTATGGAAGCTGTATTACAATATGCTCTGTAGGACAATAACCTTCCTTGAAGCTTCACATCAGCTGAACAGAACTTGGGATTCCAAAGAAAACGATAATACATATACGTGAAGAAGACCATGCGTACTTGCCATTGCTGGGCTTTTTTTGACCTAGAGTATATTGAATCATAAAGTGGATTTTGGGTCATCAAATCCATTCCCCTGCAATTGTTTACTATGAACCCTTTCCCAATTCAGCAAACTGATAATTTTTCTTAAAGAACTTCATTTTGAGAGGTTTACTTTTACTATTGAAATGTTTTAATGCCATGTGACCTGTAGTCGTAGCCATTAACGTTGCGTCTGAGGTGCAGGCAACATTTAGGTTATTGGAAGTTTCTGATTTGTTCTAATGCTGAAGTCGCTTCTACACATTGGCCTGTTGGTACTAAACATCTTCTCTCTTTCTCTTCTTAGTTATAAGAAGCCAGACCCAGAAAGTTATGAAGCACAAGCTCAAGGCCACATGAAGCCACTTACTCCTTCCCAAATCAGTGTTCATATTGGAATGGATGATAGGAGAAGGGATTCATCCAGATCAGCTCCTTGGGATCAGATTAGCCAAGTGTCTCTCTCTTCCTTGACTTCAGACAAGCTGCCGAGACGTAATGGTTTTGTTGAGGAGGAAGGGGACAAGTGGTCATTGCTCATGAGTGGAGGAGATGAAGAACAGTACATCTAAAGCACTGTATTCTTAGTACAGGAGGAAACCTTCCTCCTCACCAGTGACAGGAGGGACCGACTTGTGTCGTCACGAGCTTCAAGGTTGTAAGTGAAGAAGTCATTCCTTCAACTCACGAAAGAATTGCTACTCAGCTCAATGTTGGGTTGTATGGATTGTGGATTTTTTTCAGATCACCAGTTATTTCTAGTTATGGAAAGAATATGTGGCTCTATAATGAACTGGCTCCTTTGCACACAGCACTTAGTGAAATAATGTAAAATTGTCATTTTTATGATCTAAAAGAGTTTCTCTCTTCTGGACTGTTTGCTGGGCACCAAATTTCATACTTTTCACTCTTTCTAACTTTATTCTTTCAAAAGCACATGAAGCAAAAATATTTTCGGAGCTGCCAAATACTAATTTCTGTGTCCAAGTGAAAATAGTCATGGCATAAGGAGCTCTGTGGACAGAAGTTGTGTTTTTACACAGAATCCTAACTAGCTACGTCATTGTGAGGGCAGTTTGTGCTCAGGATTAGTGTGCATCTCATCTCCTTGGACCAAAAATGCTTTGCTGTTTCACTGACAGGCCTCAAAGATTTTTACTTGCTTTCAGGTTTTGCATCCTTTTGATGCACATTTCCATTTCTAAACTTGTTCTGTCATTCCCACTGCTCTCCTAGATTTTCTCTTTTGCTCCATATGAGCTCTTTTTCTCCCTTTCTTTGCACAAGATATCTTCTATGAGTTCTTACTGTGTTTACAGATATTCCTGTTTGGAACAAACTCCTTTAAGTCACCAGGAACTTTTCCATTCCTATTGAAGTCCACAAAGGCAGAGCAATTCCTGGTCCAAGTTAGCATATAATTTTCCTGTGGATACCTTCCAGGACCCTGTGAAGCTCCTGCCAGTTGGTCAGTAGTCTGTCCCTTCCCTCTGACAGAGTGAAGAATTTACGCCAGTGTGAGCGAGGGTGGTATTTACCGCTGTGTGACTGAGAGCAGAACTAGCACTGGTGTGACTCCAGCGTAGCTGAATGGAGTGAGTTTACTGCGTAAGTTAACGCCAGCTCAGCTTGCTGGTTGTTTAAAATGGAGCCACAATTTTAAATGGAGAAGGTGGAAAAAACGCCTTAAAATGTAGGATTTCTATTTGCTATGGTATTAATAACCTTTTCTGATGACAGAAGGACTTGAACTAAGAAGATGTGTAATAGCTTGAATTTTAATGTAAATTTGTATTCATGTTTTGGATTGGTTGTAATTTCCTCCTTCGCTCTAGTTTAATGGGAAATCAAGGTGCTGAACAACCCTTTTTTCACTTCAACGTCTTGACCAAAGCTTGCAGTAACTTTATCTCTGTGAATGTCAGATTCGTCCCTTAACACTTTTTAGTCAGGGCAGTAGGAATCAACAGCTTTAGTGCATTGAATCTGGTCCCGGGGTGCTGCATTGCTCAACTGAAGGACTCTGAAGAAAGCAGACCAGAATTTTATAGTCGAATCTAGAAGGCAAAAGAACAGGAATTACTGTGCTAAGCAATGTGAAATAACCACTTAATTTCACTGACTTAACTGTTTCCAACACGAGTTAAAATCCTGCTCCTCCCCATGTCAAAATGGAAAACAAGTCAAAAGGGAAAAGGATTGTGCTTAAAAGATCGAGCAGGTCTTCCTGTTCTCTCTTCCTCTTACTATTATATTTGAGCTTTCCTTAGCAAACATCAGCAGCACTGTCTTAAATATAATGACAAAGAAGTTTTAAAACTGTAAAGTCTCCTTATACGTGTAGAGATTACCTTCACAACGCACACTTTTCAAACATGCCGTAGGTGCCTATACATGTTCCCGTGGGGAAAATGGTCTACTGTTTCACTGCTTTATGTTTTCTTACCAGTGCTTACAGTAAAAATATTGTGGGTTTTTTTAAACAAACAAACAAATAACTTTGTGTCTTGGTTTTTCTTTTTTTGGAGGGGTACAGCAAAAAAAAAAAAAAAAGGTAAGCAGTGCTGGTTGGATTGCAGGGTGCATATGCACAATATAATTGCCAATGAGCAGTTTGGTTTATATGACATGGTGTGCAGAAGTCCCTGAGCTTGACTTAGCATGCTTTCCCCTGACAAAAATAAAGCCAAGAAATTCAACAAATTAATCTCTTCTGATGGGCCACATCTTTGAGCTGTTTGAAGCTGCAAGAAGTTCTGTGATAGATTTCAGCAGAACTGATACAGAGTCGGCTTGATCGCCACTTTTTGAATCTTTGCCAGTCAGTTTTCTGCCTATAATGCAACAACTACGAAAAATAGCATAGAAGTCAAAGATCATGATGTGTATATTCATAATTACAATGGGATAAGAGAGGTTTTGTGGATGATTGACGTGACTGCTTTGTGATCTAGGTCAGGCAGGGTAAGCAAGGAAAAGCAGATAGCATTGTATTATACGTTGAGGCAGGTGAAGTTGCAAGCATGTTGAAAGGTGGAATTAGGATTCAAAATCATCTTGAGAAATTGCCAGAACTGACAAACTTTGCAAACAAGAAAGAGAGGAATTAAAGATCAGCTTAGGAGAAAAAGCTCCGGTAGTTGGCTGGCATTCGTTTTGTGACCCATTCTAACAACATGATGATGCTGCAAAATGAGCAGAAACATTGATGTGTATAAAGGCTATATCATCTGTATGACATAACATACCTCTTTCTGTTCATCTCTGGAGAGGCATCAGCTGAAGTATCAGGTCTAGTTTTTTATGTCATACTTGTTAGGAAAAATTAGAGACAGTTCAGAAAGAGCAATGAGATTTAGCAGAAATCTAGAAAACATTAGAATGCAAATACGTGAGGATGAGAAACGTAAGAAGATCGAAGGAGTTTGAGTAGGTTTGCGAACAGAATACTCAAAGGAAATACAAGTCTCCAAACACGAAGAGAACAATTTATTCCTTTCATCTTTGCAGTGTCTTTTATGTTCTTGGTGGCTAGAACAAGAAATAATAGGCCTATTGAATCGAAGATGATTTAGATTAGTCACTGGGGAAGAACTGCCTAAGAGAAAAGATTATGGAGCAGTGGAAGAGATCGCTGAGGGGGGCTCTTCAGATGTGCATGGCAATCAGGCACACATCTCATGACAATGTGTTAGCCAGAGGTGAATCCTGCCCTGGGGTGGGCAACTGCCCTGGACAATCTCCTGACCTTCTGCCCAGACAGCTTTTCTCATATTTCTGTGAACATAATATGAACTGGAAAATTATTGGACTAGAGGACTGATCACACTTATCCTGCTTTCAAGAGGTGCCAAAGGACTGGAAAAAGATCATCTTTGACTTAATTTAATAACTTTAAATGAACTCGAAAATATGTTAAGGTTTCCTAACTTTATTTGTCTTAGAGTGTAAACTGCTGTGAAACTTGCATAAATGCCTGTAAGGAAATTAGAATAGCCACGCATAGTCAGGAGAAAGAAATGTAAGTGCTGGTCCTGACACTTGTCATCATGTGCTCTTGTTCAACCTGAACTGGCTCACTGGAGGGGCGTATGAAACGGAGGACAGTGTCTGCATTTCTGCGTAACACGATTCCGAGCTCTCCTTGTCTTCACCGGGACCATCTGCCTGCAGAGCCCCTGGCAGAGTGAGGTGCTGGCCCATGACTGGTGCTCTTCTGCGCTATAAGCCAAGTCTAGTAAAAGGGCTGGAGGAAGGTGCCCAAGAGGATGGGCTCTTGGGGTAATCCCTAAGCTTAGTGCCCCAGCCGCTCACCAGTGTGCCGTACTTCTCCTCTTTCCCAGGACTGAGTGTTTTGATGGATTAGACAGTGTGGAGGGGCTTTTCAAGTCACAGTTTTGGTCTTAGATGTCTACATTCTGCACACTCCCCTGGCATGACTCAGCTACTAGAGATCTGACCCTAAATATTGATCTGTCTGGTGATTTACATGGAACGTCTAGTTATTTTGCCCTGGGAAAAGCTTCTAAGTCTTTTCCTGTAACTTTTTTTTTTTCCTTAATGAATACAGATGACATCTAATGAATCAGATGTTTTATTTTAGTTTTCTTGTTATTTTTAGTGCTCAAGAGTGGTGTTTCCTGTGAAATTTTTCAACTATTTTCCTTCTCATGCTATAGATTTACCACAACATTTTTAGTGCCCTAAGTTCACAGAAAAGAAATGATTCTATTCATTTAATTTCTTCCTCCCTTCCCCCTTTTTCAGACTAATGAACTATCTGAGTTCTACCCAAGCTGATTACAGCCTTTCTCTAAACAGTCTTCCAAAGATTGTATTTTCTCTAGATGTACTTGTGTGTGAAGAAAACAAATGAGTGGGTGGTGAAATTATACAATGGTGTACAGGGATGGGAAATCAGATAACACCGGAACGTCGGATTTCATTTCCTCTGCTAAGACGCCAACAGCAAGCATGTTGGTTTTCAGTGGGAAATTGCTTGAGAGTCACAACAAAAGAAGAAGTGCTGAAGGGCAAAGCATCTTGCTCACGTGTGAGTCTCAGACAGGCACAAACACAGGAGGAGGGCGATGAATTCCTCTCCTTGTCTCGAGTTAAAAGCACCCAGGCTTTGCAGGCAAGCGTGGCCCACCCACAGGCTCTCCATGCAACCATCTGATTTTCATGATTTCATGCATAAAAGGATTTCTGAAGTTTCCCCTGGTGCTGCAGGTGAAGCGGAAGGGATGTCGCAGGAGAATGCGTGTCTTTGTTTCCCCACTTGGGCTTTCAGCCACCCCAGCTGGAGTGAAGTCCCCTGGGAGATTTGTGCTGGTCACTGCTGTGGTCCAGGGGCACGGGTGCGAGGTTCAGGACAGGGGGGCAGTGCTGCCTGGCACCCAGCACCTCACCTCGTGGGGGACCACGAGATGTCACTGCAGGTCCAGCCCAAGCCAGGGAATTCCCTTAATCTATAAAGCCTCTGAAAATTCACTACATTCAATGCTGGTTAGCGGCAAGGGAAAAAAATGCAAAGGGAACGGTTTGAGTCAAATAATGTAGAGTGACTAAAATTTTGGGCTGGCTTGAAGTTATATACCCCAGGGACAGATTTCAGGCAAGTGTTTATTTGCATTAAGCTCTGAATTGCTGCCTTGTTTGTATTATTTGACACTTAAGTAATTCTGTCTACTGCAATTGTTAGCTTTTTTTCCTTCCCTTTGACAAGTCAAGATTCAAGAAGAAAAGCAGCGCTTCAGGAAGATGAAGCCTGGTGCCTGCACCCTCAGAACAAACCTGCACCTTGCAATGTGAGTTTAAACTCCCCA